ACCCTGTCCTCACCTTCTATCACCACCACCCTTGGTAAAGTTGTTGACATGTTCCAGCTCCAACCTGGGCAGTGTTAGCCTGAGCTGAAGGGTGAGTTTGAATCCTCCCTTTTAGGCCAGATCAGAGGAAAAACAGCACCCTGCAGGCCAGCTTGGTGGTGGCCAAGGTGAGCAGGGACCTCAATGGCCCAGCTTCCTGCCCCACACAGATTTAAAAATAGGGTCAATTTGACTAACAGCCAGTGGTTTTCCTCACATCATCACTGCTCTTGAGTCAGCCAACACTTATTGGGCACCTGCTGTGTTCCAGGCCCTGTGGTAGGATGAGGGAGTCACTCCCAGGGGCTCTCACAGGCTCGTGAGGAGAACATGGGCTCTAGTTTCAACTACCCTTTCCCATCTCATTCCCTGCCTGGGTCCCACCAGCTCCCCCTTCTGCCCACTGGCTTGGCACTAGGCTTTCCTGCCATGACACTGGGACACACCCTTTCTCTTCTGGTTCCCCCCCTTTTTTTTCTTTTAGTTCAGCCAAGACTGATGAGTATTTTTCAAAAGGAAGGGTATTAAGAGATATAGGGAATCTAAATGGATGTTAACTAAACTCAGTGTGGTAATCATTTTGCAATATATATCTAATCATTATGTTATATACCTAAAACAAACGCAATGTTGTGTGTCAATTAAAAAAAACTGAAAAAAAAGAGATTTAGGGAAAATTAAAGAGAAATAAATCAAGAAATAAACATCAAGAAAACCATATTGTCTATTGTAGTAGTTTAAAAACAAGGGTTCTGAGACCAGACCATCTGAGTTCAACAACCTGGCTCTACCACTTTACTAGCTTATGATGAGCAAGTTACTTACCCTGTCCCATCTTGGGATTTCTCATCTGTAAGATAACAATAATACCTATCGCTTGGGCTGTTTCGATCATTAAAGGAGGGAACCCATGCTCAGTGCAGTGCATGGCCTACCGTAAGTGACTGATGAATCTTAACTAAGAGAAAAAACAATTACTTACCTATTTATACTTAGTCCCTCTGGCTCTTTCACCTTTTAATTTTTTTTTAATGTTTATTCATTTTTTTTTAATTTTTTTTTCAACGTTTATTTATTTTTGGGACAGAGAGAGACAGAACGTGAACGGGGGAGGGGCAGAGAGAGAGGGAGACACAGAATCGGAAACAGGCTCCAGGCTCCGAGCCATCAGCCCAGAGCCTGACGCGGGGCTCGAACTCACGGACCGCAAGATCGTGACCTGGCTGAAGTCGGACGCTTAACCGACTGCGCCACCCAGGCGCCCCATAATGTTTATTCATTTTTGAGAGAGAGAGAGAGAGAGAGAGAGAGAGAGAGAGAGAGAGAAGCCAGGGAGAGGCAGAGAGAGAGGGAGACACAGAATCCGAAGCAGGCTCCAGGCTCTGAGCTGCCAGCACAGAGACCGATGTGGGGCTCAAACCCAGGAACCATGAAATCATGACCTGAGCTGAAATAGGATGCTTAACTGACTGAGCCACCCAGGCACCCCATGGCTCTTTCACCTTTCAATGAGCTGATTCCTCCGCCTGAAATATTTTCTCCTTCACTGCTTAACTCCTGCTTAGGACTTGACTTAAATGGCAACCCACCCACCACCACCACCAAGTTAGGTGCCTCTCCTAAAAGCTTCTTGTCAAAAGCTTTACAATATCCAGGACATCTCTCTAACGCAGCACTCATCTTGATCTACGGTAACTGTGTATTTGCCTTTTTCACTAAGTGGGAGCCTTTCAAGGCAGAGGCTATGCCTTTTGAGTTCTCTTTCCTCTACTCCTTCCCCTATGCCTTGCACATGGCAGACCACTCAAGCTCTGTGCCATTCCTTAGCTCTGCCAAGGACCTCCTCCACCTCCTGAAACCTGGTTCTGGGGCCCTCCAGGAATGTGCTGTCCTTTCCTGTCCTCAGCTGCCTGTCATACTGCAGCCCCACTACCAAAGCACCTCCCAGCTGGGCCTCAGAGACCCTCTTACTACCCCTACAGATCCGCCTCCTCAGGGATTCCCGGCAGCCTTCAATGTCCTGCCCTATCCTGCAGGATGCTTTACCCCTCTTGCCTTCTTGATGAGCTTGCCTCAACTAAGACAGCTTTCCAGCAGGATCTCAGGGCTGGTCCAGCTTCTCAGCAAAGCTTGGCTTCCACCAATGTGTTGTCTAATCTTTGACAGGGACCACTTCCTGGGAGACTGTCTTACATCTAAGACCTCCTCAGAACCTAAAACAAGGACCTCTTTTTCCTTTTTTTGTATATTTAAGTCTCCCTAATGACTACTCTCTGCAGCTTCATGTTTGGCCTGCAGATCACATGTAGCTCTTGGTCCATTTGCACAAAAACACCAATGGGGAGGTGGCCACTGCCTGGATTTCCATGGAGACCTCAGGGCCAGGCTGGTCCTGGCTGGAGACCTGGGTCCCCTGGAGGGAAAATCAGCCCACTCACCATCCACTGTTTCTCTCCTAAGCCTGTAAGAGGGATCCTAACTCAGAATGAGTCAGGGGGCAGGTTCAGCAGGGAAGGGAAGGGAGGAATCAATGGAACTATAGTTCAGATGGTGTGGAAGGAACAAGTTTGGGACTCAGCTGGAGCTCCCTGTAAGCTGGATCTTTCATTGCAATTTTGTCTATGCTTCCTGTATTGTCCTTGTGAATTTTCACCCTTGAAGTTCCCTGGGAAAAGGCCAAGCTATCTCTACCACACTAAGTGGTTTGAGCAAGAGAAAGGGTTGGGGTTGAGGGCTCAAGTGCTCAAGGAGGCAAGGGATCCTCCTGGGTGGGGTCAGTATGATGATAGTGACAGGAATCAGAAGGATGGAGTAAATGGGGAGGGGCAAGAACCCTAAGTCTGTCTTGAAAGCCCACTTCCACCCCCTCACCACCCCCAGTTCTCCTCAAAGCTCTTTTTGCAGAGTCTGAGTGTGACCTCTGCAAGAAAGCTTGCATGGGTGACTCCCAAACATGATTACGTCCCCAGAGCTCCCAGACTCTCCCTCAGGAATCCTGGGGGAGGTTTTACAGACTTCCCTAATCTTTTGCACCATAACACTGTCAAGCCGCATGAAAGTTCTGCCAATAACAAGGGACCTGTTTATACTCAGGGATATTTTCTCCTGCAGGTGCTGCAGTGATGGGGGTGAGGTGAGGGGAGTCACTGTTACGATGGGGCAGTCTCAAGCCAAGGGAAGCCGCTACAGGCTGGAAGGCCTCATTTCCAAGACTGTGGGCAGCTGAAGGTCGTAGGAAGTTATAAGCCTGAGGGGCTGATGTTGCCTACTCTCCGCATCCGCAGGAAAGGTGGGAAAGATAGTACTGCAGCGATGGGAATGTTGGCTGCTTGGGGGTGGGCGGAACTCGCTGCAGTGTTGGGGGACCCCTACTTGGAGTGAGTGGTCACTGAAGTGATCAGGCAAGCAGAAGATAGCTGCAGGGATGGGGGCAGATTTCTGCACAGATGAAAGAGCACTTTGCAAAGAAAAAGGGCTGGCTTTGGGGGGCGGGGGGAGGGGTCCTGCAGTGATGAAGCACTGGGTTCGCTGCAGTGATGAGAGACGGTCACTGCACTGACGAAAAGCCTAGCCAGGGCGGGAAGTGGGGTGATACTGGAATAGCTGGGGTCGCTGCAGTTCCGGGGGGGGGGGGTGCAGACTGAGCCCTCTGCTGCACTTGCAGAACGTTTCACTTCCTGAAGGACAGAAAGGGTGGGGCCTTGTAGGCCTGAGTCCCTCATCTACCGGGGCCTGTGCGGCGGCGGGGACACGGTCCCCGCACTGCGGTGCCCGGTCTAGCTGGTGCGGCCGGGGTTTGCGCGGAGGCGGCACGGCGCCCGAAGCGGGGGCGGAGGGGCCAGCAGCAGCCCCGCCGCAGCGGCAGGCGGGGCCGGGGCGGGCTGAAGGGGCGGCCTTCCCGAGCGGGGGCGGGACCAGCACCCGCAGAGCCGACGCCCCTGCGCGGACTCAGATCGGCCGCAGCGGGAGTCTGGAGCGGGTGCCGCGCAGGGTGCCTGGACTGCGTGCGGCCCGAAGCGCGGAGGCGGACCTACCCACCGTGGTCCAGTTGTGGCGCCCAGAACTCCGCAGAGGACGCGACCGTGAGGCTGGGGCTGCCCGCGGGGAGGGGGACGACCCCTAGACCCTGCCTGCTGCATCCCGACAGCTCGGCTGTGGGGCCGCCCACTCTAGGATCAGTTCTGCCAGGGTGGGGAGAGGTGGGTGCCCTAGACGGATTCCGAGCAATCCCCCTGCCCGGACACCTCTCCCGGTCTTGCATCCTAAAGACCCCCTCCTGTCGCTTCCCTGTCTCGTTCTTCCCACCCAACCCCCTCCACTCCGGCCTGCAGCCCCTCTCAGCGCTCCGGTCAGGTGAGGCGCTGGAGAGGGAAAGACTACGGTCCTTCTGCTCCCCCTCCCACCCCGCCCCTGCTGTCCCTCGCTGGGCTGGGGACACCCAGGAGGATGCTGGCCCTTTAAACCCTTGCTCCTCACCCAGAGCTGCTTCTATCTCGCCGCCCGCGCCACTTCCGACAGCTGGCAGCCGCGGGGAGCCCCGGGGGGCCGGCAGGTACGGGGGCGGCGGCGAGGCCTGGGAGCGGGTGGTGGAACAGCTGTGACCCCCTCCCCCATTCCTACCCTCCGTCCCCGGAGGAGCCGGCGGCGGGAGTGCTGGGCGCTTGGAGTGCCAGTTAATCATTAACCCTCCGCTCCCCGGCTCCCGGAGCAGCCCGGAGCCGCGCTCCGCCCCGGCTTCCCAGGTAACCCGCGAGGATGCCCATCACGCGATCCCCCTCTTCCCTCCCCTCGCCACCTGTCCGCCGGGCGGGAGCCCCCGGCTCAGCCCCGCCGCGCTCCTCGCTGCCCGGCGTCCCAGCGCCTGAGTTCGATTTTCCCGGCGGCTTTCAGGAGGGCGGGGTCTGGCGCCCGTGACCCCACCCTGCGGACCCCTTCATCGAGCCCCCTCCCCCAGGGGCGCCATGCCCGGCCTGTACTGCCCCTCCAGCTGGACGCCGCTGCCCCTGACTGACTCCTGGGTCCGGGCCTGCGCCAACGGCCCCTGCCTCAGCCTGCGGGCCCGGCTCACCTACCACAACCCGCAGCCGCAGCCGGTGGACGGTGAGGCCTGGGCGGGGCTCGGGGTGGCGGGGACAGGGGGCCGGGCGAGGTCCGACGTCACCTGTGCCCCCTGCCCCCGCCGCAGGCGTGTTTGTGTACCCGTTGGCGGAGGCCGAAGTGGTCTCAGGCTTCGAGGCGGAGGCGGCGGGACGGCGCGTCTCGTTCCAGCTGCAGAGCAGGCGACGCTCACAGGCCGCTTGCTGCCGCGCGCTGGGCCCCGGGTTGGGGGCCTCCACGCCCCGCCGCTGCGCGCAGGGTGAGTGCAGGGCGCCGTCGCCTCGCCCCGAAAGTCAGCCCCGCTCTGATTCCTGCACCCGCTCTGCGTCCCGTCCCTCCCCGCTCCCCCTCCAGCCGCTGATTTTTTCATTCATTGATTCATGGCTTTATTCAACAGTCGTGGACTAGGCACCTTACTTGCACCAGGTGCAGGGGCAATGTGACCCAGGCCTGACGCGAGGTTCGCGGCCTGGGAGACAGACGCAGCAGGCGGTCCACACGTCTGTCTCCCGAGCTGGAGCATTAGCTCCCGAGCCTGGGACTGGGTTTTCTTTGGACATCTCTAAGCCCCAGCATCTCGCACAGAATGTGGCGTAAGGAGGCTCAATGATTGCTGGGTGAGGAGTGGAAGCCCATCCCTGTGCTAGGTTTTGTGGTTTGCACTTCATCCTTTCATTTGTTTATTTGGACATTCATTTGATTCCTGCACATGGGATTTGCCATCCCCGTAAGAAAGACAGAATCCAGTGGTGTTGAGAGTTGGTTTAAGTCCAGCAGACAGTGAGAGGCCAGAGTGAGCTGTGGGCTGAGGCCCCAGGAATGTTCCAGAAGGAAATGGAGCCAGCATGTGACCAAAAGGAAGAGTATGTCTGGTGAAGTGGAGAGGAGGGAAAAGGCACTCCAGTAGGGGCGATGGTATAAGCAAAGGTTTGGAAGTAGATTGTACACAGTGATGGTAAATTAAATAAAACACTTCGTGTTTATAGCAATTTACAGTTCACAAAGTCCAGTCACTGGTATCACCTCATTTGAATCCAGAGAGGTATGTAATGCAACTATTGTTCTCTATCCTCCTTTTATAGGTGTGAAAATAATACAACAGCCTCTTATGTGTCAGATGCTATGCCTACATTATCTCATTTATTTCTCACCACAGTCTCTGAGACACATTATGACCCCCATTTCATGGATGAGAAAACGGAAGCTCCTTAAAACAGAAGAGTTACCCAAGGGCAGAATTAGAAGTCACACTCAAGACCTGATCCTGTGCTCTCTCCACTGTATCAGGCTGTCCCCAAGCCTTAGCTAGTTGGGATAGAAGCCCCTTTTTTCCTTCTTATCTCCCTGTCTTCTTTCCTTCCATCTTTTTCTTCCCTTCATTTATTCTGCAGGCATTTCTCTAAAGAATGTGTAAATGATTATTGTGGGGAGATGAAGCCAAGTAGGGCTATAAAGGTAGCCTGGAGCCAGACCATGTGAGGCCTTGACTGCCACTGCATACACGTGGCCATTTTTCCTTTAGTAGCAGCAACCCCCATGATTCCACCAGTCCCCAGATGAACCTAGGGGCGATGTAAAATGGTGTGCTTTGCATACCAGTACAGCTTTAAGTCCTCTAGCCAGCTTCCAAGCAGATTACAGCCACTGAACGCCTCTTGGGTAGAAAATTCTGAAGCCACTCCTCGTGGGCAGTGGGGAGCCCCTGACTGTTCATGAGCAAGGGATTTGTGAGCAGACTGGGTCCCAGGCTATGGGACATGTCAGTCCACAGGGAGGGTCCTGAGGAAGATGATACCCAAGGGTTGAATGGGCAGAGACAGGCAGGGGAATAAGGGCAGAGGGTATGGATCCCCTAGGATCTTGGGGGTGGTGTGGACATGTCCCTTCTCCTCAGCTCTCTAATAGCAGTGATGTCACTACTCCTTTTCCTGATGACAGCCAGATGCTTCTGCTATCATCCTACCTCTGCTTTGACCATCATTTGGCTCATGCCTCCATTCTGCATCACCAACACATTAGCCCCGTGTCCTTCTAACTTTGTGAAGTCCCCCTTGCCTAGGCTCCCCTGACTCAGTGACTGCTCCCATTTCCTATTTCCCCCATCTCTTCCGCTTCCAGCCCCTTCTGACCCCTTTTCTCACTCATCATAGGTCATCTTGTGTTGGATCTGGCCCAGGCCCGGTCCACACTGGTGCTGCCCACAGGCCTCATCAACGCGGCCGGCACCATGACAGTGACCCTGCGCAGCAGCCGGGAGTTGCCCTCAAGGCCTGATGGGGTGCTGCGCGTGGCTCTGCCCTCTGTGCTCACCCCACTGGCCTCACCAGGCCCACCGGGGCCCCCCAGGCCTCCGGGGCTCTGTGACGACAGGTTGGGCCTATGGTGATTCTCTTCGTCCCTCCCTCGGCTTCTCTGGGTCTAGTGCGGGTGAGGGGGCTTTGGTAGGGTGCCCTGGGGGATGGACAGGGTGGGGAAGGGCTGGGCCATTCATCCAGAGGGGCTAGGGGCCTTGGTGGTGGGCCCGTGACCCTCCTCGCGCTCCCTTCCAGCCCTACCAGCTGCTTCGGGGTGGGCAGCCCTCAGGAGGAAGGGCTGGCCTGGGAGGAGCCAGCGGCCCCTCCGGATGTGTTCTCAGGCCCTGCCCGCTGCCCTGCCCCGTACACCTTCTCCTTCGAGATGCTGGTCACTGGGCCATGCCTGCTAGCAGGTGGGTGCCCCTCCTAGCATAGCTGACTAGGAAATAATAATTCAGGGCTCAGGACTGGGAGGAACACAGGAAAAAAAAAGAAAACAAGGACCTAAGTCTTAGGAACCTCCAGTTTTGGTAGGAGCATCCCCTGGACACTTCTACACAACACCCCCCCCCCCCAGGTTCGTCAGTGTCATTTATTTATACCCCACTCCACTCACCAGTGGGAAGAAAGGGATTAAATTGAGACCAGTCCAAGTGATGAAGTGGAGTTTTCTTGTGTAAGAGGTGGGGGAGGATGCTAAATCAGCTGGCTGCTGTATAACTGATCAGCCAGAAACAGAGCTGGGAACCTACCTCTCAGCTCATGAAAGCAGGCAAAATCCCTCCCCTTGTCCATGCAGCCCTCTAGATTAGGCGCTAAGAGCTGAGCTGAATCAGTCATGATCCTTGCCCATACCACTGTTGTCTGGGAAGGTGATGTTTGTGCATTAGTACTGGCTTGGGGTGGGGTGATCATCTCTCCCTGCCTCTCCCTCCCTCAGGCCTGGAGAGCCCTTCTCATGCTCTGCGGGCAGATGCCCCACCTCATGCCAGCTCCGCAGCCACCATCTGTGTCACATTAGCAGAGGGCCACCACTGTGACCGGTCATTGGAGATCCTGCTGCACCCCAGTGGTGAGAGACTGGGACACACAGTGGGCCAGCTCTGACCTACTTCAGGACCACTTGGATACCATTTTTCAAGTATAGATTTCTGGCTCCCAAGCCAGGTGGATTGAGCCATCTGTGAGGGACGTGCTGGACTTGCAGGGTCCTCCTGGGACAGTGGGACCGAACAATTGAGGTCCAGAGACAGGGACTTTCCTGACAACTATACCCCTTTTTCCTTAGAGCCCCACCAGCCACACCTGATGCTAGAGGCCGGCAGCCTGAGCTCAGCAGAATATGAGGCCCAGGTGAGGGCCCGCCGGGACTTCCAGAGGCTACAGCGAAGGGACAGTGATGGGGACCGGCAGGTATGGCTGCATGGGGTCCCGGCCTGGCCACTGACCTCTCACTACTGGCTGCATTTGTGCAGGAGGAACAGTTGGGCAGTTGTGTGGGGG